AACGAGACGCCCAAAGCAATCACAGCAACAACAAAAATAAATAAATGGGACCTGATCAAATTAAAAAGCTTCTGCAATTTTCTAAAATACTCTTATTTAAACTCCATATTCACTTATTCCACACAACTTTATTGAGTGCTGACTATATGCTGGGCATTGCTCTGGTAAAAGCAATGAACAATATGAATATTTTAAATAAGATAACCAGAAAGTTTGCAGATAATAAAGTCTGATTAACATTATGTGAGTACAGTAGCTCACACCTGTAATCCCAATACTTTGGGAAGTTGAGGCAGGAGGACTGCTTGAGGCTAGGAGTTCAAGACCAGCCTGGGCAACATGGCAAGATCCTGTCTCCACAAAATATTAAAAAACAGGCCAGGCGTGGTGGCTCACGCCTGTAATCCTAGCACTCTGGGAGGCCAAGGCGGGCGGATTGCTCGAGGTCAGAAATTCGAAACCAGCCTGAGCAAGAGTGAGACGCCGTCTCTACTATAAATAGAAAGAAATTAATTGGCCAGCTAATATATATAGAAAAAATGAGCCGGGCATGGTGTCGTATGCCTGTAGTCCCAGCTACTGGGGAGGCTGAGGCAGAAGGATTGCTTGAGCCTGGAGTGTAAGGTTGCTGTGAGCTAGGCTGACGCCACGGCACTCACTTTAGCCTGGGCAACAAAGTGAGACTCTGTCTCAAAAAAAAAAAAAAAAAAAAAGATTACACTTTTGAATTGTCATTAGTAGATATAGAAATTTTCATTAAGTTTCTCAGCAACAGTGCTTTCATTCCTTATCTCTGGGTTATTTGTGCATTTATGAAAAGCGCCAGATAACTATTGTGTATATATCAAGTATATTCTGAGATGTTCTATTATTCTAAAAAACTTATTGCACAAGAGAAAATAAGAAAGCAAGACTCTGTCTCTACAAAAAAGCACTCCCCCCCAAAAAATAAAAAGTAATTTTGGCACACCTAATTCATGGGAAATGTTAAACAAATGCTCTTCTTTGTATCTAATAAATAACCCTTGAAGAGGACTGAAACCTATAGGACTTGTATACACCCCAACTCAGCAACTCTATCAGTGTCATTATTATTACATTAGGAAAGGTTTGAAAGGCAGGATGGAGGAATTATCCAGAATCCCACCAATTAACCCAGCTACTTTGCTCTCTTCTGGATCACTCTCTACAGAGGAAGCCAGTTGGCCTATCACAAGTTATTTTCACTCCTTGCTACTTAAGTAAACAATTCAGAAATACATAACAAATACAACTTAATACATCTGTATCAACCATCAGTGACAGATATTGAGAATCAATCCCTGCCCTTTATTTCAGCAAATGTACAAGGCACTACGTATGAGCAAGATATAAAAGAGCAAAACACAGAACTATACTGTTAAGAAATACATAAGCTGCTGGACGCTGTGGCTCAGGCCTCTAATCCTAGCACTCTGGGAGGCTGAGGTTGGAGGATCGCTTGAGCTCAGGAGTTTGAGGCCAGCCTGAGCAAGAGCGAGATCCCGTCTCCACTAAAACTAGAAAAATTTAGCCGAGTGTGGTAGCATGCACCTGTAGTCCTAGCAACTCGGGAGGCTGAGGCAGGAGGATCGCGTGAGCCCAGGAGTTTGAGGTTGATGTGAGTGTGGCTGTCGCCAAGGCACTCTAGCATGGGTGACAGAATGAGACTCTTGTCTCAAAAAAAAAAAAAAAAAAAGTAAAAGCTGCTAAATTGTGGGGTGATGTGTTAAACAGCAACAGATAACCAATACAAATTTTATGAATTCATTCCTCAAAAATACTATTTATAAATCATAAACCAGATAACATACCCTTATTTAAAATACGTCAAAGGCTTATGTTACTCAGGGAATAAAACCGCAACTCCTCACTATGGCCTGCAGAACCATTCCTAATCTGGTTTATGCTTATCTCTTTATCCTTCCCTAGTTCCATTCCCTACCTCCTCCATTACAATGGATTCTTCTTAGAGTGTTAAAAAAATAAAAGTACCCTCTTCCTTTACCCTAGACCTTTGTACTTGCTGTTTTGTCTGCTTAAGAATGCTATTTGCTGCATTCCTGGGGGTTTTTCCTTTGAATACTTGGCTCCTTTTTGTCACACAGTTCTCAGCTTAAATGTTCCCTCTCCAGAAACACCTTCCCTGAGGACCCATGCTTAATGGGAAAATCCTGGAAAGATTCCCTCTGATGAGGGAGATACAAGGTAAGGAGACCATCATTACCAAAGCAATATGATATTAGAATAGTCTATTGGACTAACTAACTGTATTAGAAGATACACAAGAGAAATAAATTAGGAAACAAGAAACATGTAAATTCTATAAGCACAAAACTTTAAAACAGCCCTCAAGGACAAAAAAAGGCATAAGCAAATGAAAAAGCATAATATGTAGGATAGGGAGACTAATACAAAAAAGATGTAAATTTTTCAAATTCTGTATGTAATAGGAGTCCAATAAAAATAGGATTTTATTCTTGCAACTAGACAAGGGGATTGTAAACTCATGATATAATAAACAGGGCAGAATAGTCAGAAAATTTCTGAAAAAAGTAAGAAGGAAGAATTAGTCTAACAGATATAGAAATATACTATAAAACTTAAATAATTACAGCAATCTGATGCTGATAAAGGAAAAGACATTGATGTAACAATAGAAAATGCACAATTATAAACAAATATATATTAGTAGGAAAAAGATGGACAATTAAAAAAGTGGTGTTGGATAACTAAGTAACCATCTGAAAAAAGTGTAAATAGTTACTAATACTCTAAACCAACATAAGTGTAAAATGGATAAAATATTAAAGTGGAGAAAAAAATGAAATCATTAAAATACTACAAAAAGAAAATGAGAGAATTATTTATAGTGGGAATATTTTTCTAATTAAGATATCTTACCCTAAAGCTATAAGAGAAAAGATGAAAAAAATTGACTACATTTATAAAACAATCTAAATGGTAAAAGTGTAACAAACTGAGAAAATACATTTACAACTATTATCACAAATGGCCAATTTTTTTAGAAAGCTGCTATAAAATCAATCAAAAATAATACAATAGAAAAATGAACAGTCCGTATATTCTTTGCTGCTTTAAAATATTATAAATCACATTTAAAAATGTCATAAGTTACTTTTTCAAAGGGGGGAATAAAATATGAAAATAAAAATAAAGATCACCCAGGCTACTGTTTGGACATATCTTCAAAGTCTCTTACACATATAGATTGACTTAAATGAATGGTGTTTTGTGAAAATTAAGTAGTAAACATCATTGCTCAGTTGACACAGTGTGAAAAAAATCAGTGCATAGCAGGACGAGAAGTTGATCCATGAACTGAGGAAGTAATAGTTCACAATCACCAAACCCTACCCCACTCTAGCATTCACACCTTTTAAAAACCTTAGGTAAAGTTTTAGACTCTAGGGGGAACAAAACCGAGTATTTTAAGAAATTTCATTTAGTTCTTAAGAGGCAAGGTGACCCCAGCTAACATTTGTGTTATAAGAAGTTAAAGTAATGAACCTGATGTCAGCAAATCAAGTGTCAAAATGTGTGTGTAATGGCTGACATCTCTGGGCCACACTACCTTCACATCTGCAAATTGAAATGATTAATAGATCCTAATTTACTTTTGTATTCACAGTATCTAGCCCAGGGCATGGCAATAGAAAGTACTCAATAAGCATGAGTTCCTTCACTTATCTTTCGCATTTTGAAAATTTTTTTTCTCCAAAATTCACTCAGATTATAACAAAGTGAAGGCAGATATCTTAGTTAGGACTCACTTCCATTGCAAAATAACATGGTTTAAACAAGTTAATAAAAGAAAACTCATAAAACATTTCTCTCTCAGGTTAAAGAAATCAAGATTTAAGAAGGCCTGGGGATAGTATAACAGCTCCGTTGGTATCAACGGGGACTGGGGTTCCTGTATGTCTTCCCACTATTCTGCATGTCTTCCACTGTCAGGTCAATTCATGATTCCAGAAGGCTGTTGTAACTCAAGCCTTTAAATCCATGATACATAAATGTTGAGTGAAAGGAGGCACACACAAAAGAGTACATAATAAAGGATTCTAATTGTATGAAGCTCAAAAAAGAAGCAAAACTGGTTACCTTTAAAGGGAGGTATTGATTGGAAAAGGGGCTCCAAAGGAAGCTTTTTGGGGTGCTAGAATGGTTGATTTGTAATCAAAGGTAGCTATTATTGTCATTATTATTATTACCACAATCACCATCATCATTAACAGATTATAGAATAGGGACCTCAGAAAATTCTATGGTAAGGAAATCCAAATAAACTGGTTAATATCTTTGCAGATGTGAGTACCCTACTGAAAAGACACATTTGGCTATGAATGTGGTTTTTAGTTTGAGAACTTCCTAGAGAAGGTGAATCCAGTTCTTTTAAATTATGCATTTGTGGAAAAATCAAAGTAGTCATAGGAATGATTTTGAGAGTATGTTGTAGATGTGGTTTTGTTTTTAGTACCATGATCAGTACAATGATCTGCATTACGGTGGTTCTCTGGATACTGAATTGGAAAGACTTTCAAAATACAATTACTGATTAAAGTAAGATATAAAGCAGTGTGTATAATTCAGTACCATCTCTTTATGCTATCTGATTATGAATGTATTGAACTATCTCTAAAAATACACAAGAAACTGGTAAAAGTAGTAACTTTGGGGGAAAAAGAAGACCATCGTGTAACAACTAGGCAGGGCTCTTTCCCTTCCATTATTTAACATAAAAACCACATCCAGGAGTGGGGAACCTACAGCCTTGGGGCCACATGTGGCCTTCTGACCGAATCCAAATTTTACAGAACAAATCCTTAAAATAGCTTCCTTGTTTTATCCCTGTGGGTGTGCCTATTTTTCTAGTCCATATTTTCATGGAACAAAAAATGTATTCATTTTACATGGAGAATAAATCCATTCTTGAAAATGTATAAATGAGAAATACTTACCCACTTAGCTATTGGACACCCATGAGAGCTTTTGCCTTCTTTCCCAGTATACACTACTATCTCTATCCTTATTGCATTTCCTTTTTGACCATACCTGAGTATAAAACACAGGAGAATGTACTAATGAATTGCAATCTACACTTGAAACCTTGAACTTTTATCTTAATATGTATAATATATGGATGAACAGAAGTTCAAAAATCCAACACATCTCATAATTTATTTTTGTAAACAATTCACATTTGCGCAGCAGATGTTTTTATTTATCAGTACTGTTTATTTATCCTTAAAGATCGCTCTTTTAAAAAAGTCTACTCCAAGACAAGCAATGGGAATGTAGAGTGTGCAGTGTTGAGGGGGGTAATTTGACCTATTTCTACTATTATACAATAATGTAAAAATAAGTATTTCTGAATTTATTAAAGACAATTATCCTTGCCTTGTGAGTGCCCACTTATGTGCCCAACAGCTTACATGATGAGGGAAAAAGCAGGGACACCAGGACACCCCTCTTTTCCCTAAGAAACATCCAACTCATGCTGCTCAAAATTTTCTATTCACCTGATGCTTGATACCAGAGATAATTTATCTGCATTGAGTCTGATCCACAATAAAATTGATTTTAACAGGGAAGCATATTTCCTCACCTATTCTCCATGATTTCCCTGACAGCAGCAACACTTGGTCCTGCCCCAAGGTGTGTATAATATGGGCCTTTGTCTTTTTGTATAGCTCGAGCTGTGGAAGGAATAAGATTATTAGACCCAAAGTTTTACAGATTTGCATAGGGGCAAGGAGGAGCTACTTTTACTTTTTCCCCTCAATTCAGAACCATGAATCTTGACAAGGTTTTAATAATTAAAGTCAAGGACAATATGCCATAGAATTTAACTTGTTAATGTTCTACTCTTCCTGCTCCTAATTCTTTCTTCCTCTCAGAATCAGAGGGAAAAGAATAGTTTAAGATGTGGGTCATATTTATACTCCCATCTCCTGCTTTAAAAAAAATCTGGAATAATTGAAGTGTAAAATTAAAAGTTATCCAAGAGTAATAATTTTTAAAAGCCTGGCCTAAGACTCCTATTAAAATCGAGCCAAGCAATTTTACTGCTAAGAATTTATTATACTATACACTAGTGCAATTATGTATTTATAAAGTAAATGTACAAAAGAATGTTCCTTGTTAATGAATATTTTTAACAGATGTTAAGATATAGGTCAAGTAACCTATTATCGATAACATATATCAATATGTATAGGTTAAATAATTTATGGGATACTTATATAGTGGACTACAATAAAACTATTGAAACAGTTCTTACAAACATTGCAAAATCTACGATTTCATGAATTTAAAAAACCAAGTGGCAAAAATAGCATGTTCTAAAAGTCCTAAATTTTGTAAACAGGGAAACAAAATTAAAATCAGTAATGTTAATTCCTATAGAAAACTGTATAACAGGAATTTTTATCTTCAGAGAATGGGGATTATGTGAAGACATTTCCATGTTTCTATACCCTTTGAATTTTTTTTTTTTCTTTTTGAAACAGAGACTTGCTCTGTCACCTGGCTAGAGTGCAGTGTCATCATCACAGCTCACTGCAACCTCAAACTCTTGAGCCCAAGCGATTTTCTTGCCTCAACCTCCTGGGTTGAGAGCTGGGGCTCAGGCACGTACTGCCATGCCCAGCTAATTTTTCTATGTTTTGTAGAAGCTGAGGTCTCACTCTTGCTCAGAGATAGTCTTGAATTTCTTGCCTCAAGCAACCCTCCAGCCTCGGCCTACCAAAGTGTTAGGAATTATAGGTGTGAGCTACTGCACCCAGCCCTGTTTGAATTTGAGAGCATAAATTATACATTTATTGGGAAAACATTATTTTTAACTTGGCCTCTTAGCATCATGTATAACAAGAATGACTTCCTAGCACTCTGGGAGGCCGAGGCGGGCGGATTGCTCGAGGTCAGGAGTTCGAAACCAGCCTGAGCAAGAGCGAGACCCCGTCTCTACTATAAATAGAAAGAAATTAATTGGCCAACTAATATATAGAGAAAAAATTAGCTGGGCATGGTGGTGCATGCCTGTAGTCCCAGCTACTGGGGAGGCTGAGGTAAAAGGATTGCTTGAGCCCAGGAGTTTGAGGTTGCTGTGAGCTAGGCTGACGCCACGGCACTCACTCTAGCCTGGGCAACAAAGTGAGACTCTATCTCAAAAAAAAAAAAAAAAAGTCATTATTTAATAATTCTCATCGGACATCAAATAGAAAGAAGACTTACTTCTGTGGCTTATTAAGCAAGATACACTGAATAGATTTTTAACTTACTATTGGTGATTAGAGCAGCGGTTCTGAACCAGGGGTAATTTTGCTGCTAAGAAGACATTTGGCAATATCTGGAGACATTTTTGTTGTGAAACTCAGCAGATATTGTATGTGTACTACTATCTAGTGGATAGAGGTCAGGGATGCTGCTAAACATCCAAAAATGCACAGAATAACCCCCCTACAACAAAGAACTTTTAGGTACAAAATGCCAATAATGCTAAGTTCGAGGAACCCTGATCTGGAGATCAATTTACTCTATTTTGCTAGAACATAATATCACCATGGAAATTCTTTACCCTCAGATATGATGGTCTTACTTGAAATGATTTCTGGATCTTAAAGTTACCTTTCTTACACAATAAGCACAGTAAACTCACATGTAATGATTAATGAAAGACATGTTAGTGACAGTGTATGAAACAGTTCTGAGTCCACTGCAGGTACTCAGTCAACTTTGAATGCCTGGCTGTCTCTACTTTTATAAACTGTGAGTAGTTATTTTGTACAAAGAAAGGATCTCGGGCCAGGTGTGGTGGCTCAGGCCTGTAATCCTAGCACTCTAGGAGGCCGAGGCGGGCGGATCATTTGAGCTCAGGAGTTTAGACCAGCCTAAGCAAGAGCAAGACCCCGTCTCTACTAAAAAAAATAGAAAGAAATTAGCTGGATGACCAAATAAATAAATAAATAAATTTTATACACACACACACACACACACACACACATATATAAATTAGCCAGGCATGGTGGCACATGCCTGTAGTCCCAGCTACTTGGGTGGCTGTGAGGCAGGAGTATTGCTTGAGCCCAGTTTGAGGTTGCTGTGAGCTAGGCTGACGCCACAGCACTCTAGCCCAGGCAACAGAGCAAGACTCTGTCTCAAAAAAATAAATAAAAAATAAAGAAAGGATCTTGAAACTAGACAAGCATCCTTTTAGAACCATGCACACAGTAAAACTAGACTAGCTCAGGTATATAAACTTTATTGGTACTTGCATGTGGGATTATAGACCTTTTTTCTAACTGTAATGATATTCAGAAAAGTGTTTTCCCTTTTATACTTCAGATCTTTGAAGCAACAGAAGGTGAAAGTTATATAGGCTCTGGAGTTGAGACGGCTACATGTCTCTGAATCCTAATTCACTTACTAGCTGTTAAGTTTTCTGTGCCTCCGTTTTCTCATTTGTGAAACGGGGATAAAAAGCCCTCCCTTTGTAGAGTTGCTGTGAATATAACAAGTCAAGGCTTAGCAGAGTATCAGACTTGTGACTTGTAGTAAGAGCTCTAGAATAGGAGCCATTATCATTTTCCACTCTTGTCTCGTTGTTCCAAGAACCTCTTATTCTCCCAATTCAACCCCACTCAGACAGCACTGTCACCCATTCCAGATTATGAGACTCTTCTCAGGAGAGCCTATCCTTGGTGACTGGCACATGGTAGTTTGTCAAAAACCGTGTGTTGAATGATGAGCAGAGAAATGGAAGGATATTATTTCAGGATATCAAGTGTACTCTGAATAATCCAGAACTAAAAGGCATCACTGCATTACACTATTTTTTCCTACTATGCTTAAAAAATATCAAAATGAATACTTATCCTTCCAATAATCAACACAGGAATCAACTTAAGCTTTCACATATTTCAAATACTGAGTAAATTTCTCAAAAGTCTTGCCTGAGAATCTTTACCCCAGCAAGATTTTCTCAGTGCTTTTAACACACCGATAAAACAAAGTGTTAGTTTCTGAATGTTCTTTCAATGACTCCTAAGGCACAAAAATGTATAAATACATTAGTTAGAAATAAGTTCATTAACTCAGCTATTAGCATAAATTGCTTTTTTTAAAATAGGAAATCAATATTTATTGGACAAATTTGTTAAAATTCAAAAAGATTTATGAACTCTTCAAGTGACCAAGATTATGGAATTTCTTTAGATATGAGTGCACCCTTTATGTTGCATAGAGCACGAAAGCACAAGACACTGAAAAAGATATAAGCCAGTTTCAGTTCTAGACCAGGATGGCAATTGCCATCTATACTTTCTAAAGTTATTTGTTTAAGTTGTATCCACATTTTACATTCTCTGTATGGAATCTATCTCACACACATAAAAACGTTAATGAAAGTCTAGTAGGTTGAAATTCTTTTTAATACGGGAAGAATAAACAAACTGTAATGAAGTAATAAGGGAATTCATTCTTAGGCTATGCACAATAAACAAGAGACATTTTGCCTTGAGAGAAATTAGTATATTTTCCACTTGAGAAATTTACCTTTGTTTTCCAAATTATGAGTTGAATTTTCCATTTTTTTTTTTTTCTGGGCAGAATGAATAAAGATCCCACAGAAAAATGGTTATAGAATTACTAAGTCTATCTTAGCTAGAACAGGAATGGGGCAAAAATACGACACAAGCTTCTGTCATGACTTGAGGCAGTTTATGAGGGTGAAAGAACACATCCACACAAGTACTTACCAGGACATTTACAGGTGGGTAGTTCAGAATCTTTAGTTATAGACACCAGGTTTTTTGTTGGGTTAGTAAAGAAGTTCATGGCATAATCATTAAAACTTTTCTGTGTGCTGTCTACTGGGGAAAATTCTGATCCGACAATGCTAGATGAACAGACTTCCTCTTCACTTTTGGTAGAAACCACTGTAATTCCACCTGAACACACTACATTTACATTCCTGAGAATTTGTGCTGGGTCCGGTAAGGGTGTCTCTTGAGAGATACCTGGCAATGTTGGCAGTCTCTGATGCATGAGTTGCTCCTTAACATCTTGTTGCAACTGTATTTGGTCATCACCAGCCATCCCATTAACACACTGGCTAGGTGGAGAGGAGGGCTGGGTCGAAGGGTGAGCTTTCTGATTGACATTCACTGTTGACTGTTCCTGAGAATTATAAGCTTTATCTGTAAACGCCTGCCCATTGGATTCCATTTTAAAATGAATTAAGGTAAGAGAATCCAGTGGTTCAACCTTCACCATTTTTTCCTGTGCTAATTCTGTATACCTCTCAAATTTTATCTGAGTTATTGGAGGAAAGAATTTTTTGTCTTGTATGGTTGAACTTTTTGGAGCCAGTGGTTTGCACATTGTGGTTATGGGTGGAATTTCTCCCAAAAGGGGAGGAAAAACAGGTGAATAAAATTGCCCATATCTTTGAAATCTGGATCCTATCCAAATGTCATGTAACTGACGATACTGATAAGACTTTTTCTGGTTTTGCTGATGCTTTTCTTGACAACTTACAACTATAGGCTTCTTTTTCCGCCGATCTCTTGATGGGGTGGATTTTGTCTTTTTCTGGGTTGTATTCTTTTGCTTTGTTAATGATGAGCCATTATTTTGTACACTTGAAGGTGGTTTATGTTGTATTAAGCCCTTTTCCTGACTATATTTTTGCTGTGCATGGTTATTACTTTCAAGTTTTTTGCCCTCTGGATTTGTATTAGTAGATTTAATTATTGAAGCAAGTTGTGTTAGTTGTGTTGCAACATCTTCCTCAATTTGAGTATGGGCTGCATCCTGACACAATACATCTGAGTCCAAATTTTTACTTTTGTCCAGTAACTCATTACAATACCCCGATTTATTACTTCTTGGTGGGGACTGATGCAAAATCTTGGAACAACTGTCAAAAGTAATCCTACCTTTAGCAATATTTTTACTGGTGTCAGTCTTGGATGAATTTGTTTTTGGTATAAGAGGTATTGAATTTGTGACTTTTGAGTATTCATGTGATGTTGTGGATGCTTGGTTAGTAGCTGAGCTGATATGTGAGTTGGAAAGAGTATTTTGGCCATTGAATACCACTATGTTGCAGGAACTTTGCTTTTCCAAAGATGGACAGTGATGAAGGTTTGGTGGCTCTCCCTGTATGTTTGGGTCTTGAAGGTCTTTTCCAACATCACAGAAAGCTGTATGGCTGCTATTAAGCAATCGAGGTGTTCTCAGCTCTGAGCTTTCATCTTTCTCTGACTTTGATGGTGAGGAATTCTCTGATGGGGCTTTTGAGAGTTGAGTCAGGGCCTCTATGGCTACCACTTGGTCCAGTGTTAATCTCCTATCTTTCATTAAGGATAAAATTCCTGCTTGAACTGGAGACCCATCTTTTGGTTCTTTACTTGGCATATTGTCAGGAGTTTTTGGTTGATCGCCTTCATTGTGTGTACTAGTGTGACTGTTTTTATGGACGTTTGAAGAATCTGGATTAGAATTACAGTTAAAGCCAGGCTTCTGGAAGACTAACACATTACTCCTCCCCTTGAGATGATCACAGCTCGCACTAGTAGCAATAGAGCTCATGGCATTGTTATGGTTTGCAGTGTCTTTTAGTAATTTATAGGAATTGTTGTCAAATGCCTTGCCCAATTCTTCAATACTGAATTTTTTAAATGACACATTTGTTTCAGTTGGTAAATAGTGTACATTTTTAATGCCATTTCTTACAGTTTGTATAAACAATTGTGGAGGTTTGTTTTGTTTCTTGTCAATTTCAGAGTTTTCTGATTTTTCAGCTTCTGTCACATTAGCACCAAAATCTCCTTTGACATGATCAATTAAGTGTGATTTCTTGTTTTGCGTCCACTTTTCCACTTCAATACCTGTCATGCTTTCTTCATTTTTAGCTACATTTTCAAGGGGTTTTGGGTTCAATTCCAATCTTTGTTCTTCCCCATGACCACATTTACTGTAGTCCATGGATTCTGACTTGGGGCCATTTACTGGTTTGTGGTCAAAATCTGCCTGTAAAATAAATATAGAAATTACTCATAGCATCTACCTAAATATCTAAATAAGAGCTGTAAGAACTTCAAAATGTAATAGCAACTAAAGATGAAACCCTGCTGGATACACCCTAAGAGTATTATTTTTGCTTTTTACGTGCTTAGAGAAGTCATAAAATACCAAAAAGGGAGGTCTAGGGATAGAAAGAACTAGAATCGATCATAATCTCATTCCAGTTAATATTTGGTTAAGTTGATTTGTTTTTCCAAGTAAATTTTTCAACTATTCTAAAATTGCTACTATTCACTGGGACTATCCATCATTTTAATGCAAATTGTATTCAAGAAGAACATACACACAGTAAAGTGTAAAACTCATATAGCTTATTGAACTTTCACAAAATGAACATATATGTAACCAAATCCCAAACATGAACTCCTCTGTCTTGTCATCACTCAGCCCCCAAAAGGTAACCATTGTCTTGATATCTAACATCATAAATTTCTCTTGCTTGTTTTTAAACTTCACATAACTGACAGGTTTTTATTCAAAAATATGAGATATATCCATGCTGTTAATTATACTTGTAGTCCATTGACTATCATTGCTGTATATGACAATCTAGTCATCTATTCTACTGGAGATGTACATCTGGATTATTTTTAGGTTTTGGCTGTTTAAAGTATATTATAACAGACCAGGCGCCATGGCTCATGCCTGTAATCCTAATTCTCAGGGAGACCGAGGCAGGCAAATTGCTCAAGGTCAGGAGTTCAAAACCAATCTGAGCAAGAGCAAGACCCCGTCTCTACTATACATAGAAAGAAGTTAATTGACCAACTAATATATATAGAAAAAATTAGCTGGGCATGGTGGCGCATGCCTGTAGTCCCAGCTACTCGGGAGGCTGAAGCAGAAGGATTGCTTGAGCCCATGAGTTTGAGGTTGCTGTGAGCTAGGCTGACGCCATGGCACTCACTCTAGCCTGGGCAACAAAGCAAGACTCTGTCTCAAAAAATAAATAAATAAATAAAAAGTATACTATAACATTCTAATGTCATCTTTAGGTGAACATACATATGCATTGGGTAGGGGGAAAGTGCTGGGTGATACGAGTGTGTGGGTATCTTCAGCTTTAGAAAATAGGCCAAAGAATTTTCTAAAGTGGTTATCGATATACACACCCACCAGTAATTATGAGAGTTCCAATTGCTCCACATTCTTATTAATAATTAGTATTTTCTGACTTTCATTTTAGCCATTCTAGAAAGTGCAGAGGGATATAATTCCCCTTTTTTATTGAGATGAAATTTACATGACATGAAATACATCACTATTCAATTTAAAAGTGTACAATTCGGTGGTTTTTAGTTAATTTGCAATGGTTGTGCTACTATCTAATTCCAGAACATTTTCCTCACCCGAAAGAGAAATTCTGTACCCATTAAGCAGTCATTCTCTATTCCCTCCAACACTTATTTATTTATTTATTTGTTGAGACAGGGGTCTCCCCCAACTTGGAGTGCAGTGCCTATTCACAGGTACAATTATAGCACCCCATGTCCTGGAACTCCTGGGCTCAAGAGATCTTCCTATCTTAGCTTCCCGAGTAGCTGGAACTACAGGCTAATCCTTGTTTTGTTCTTTTTTTATTAATAACATTGAAATAGCTCATCAACCTAATAACACAGGAATTAAGATAGTAGAGGTATTGTCATTGCTATCAGGAGTCAATAGGATGACAACTACCATTTCCCAGCGTATACATATTTCAAAACATCATGTTGCCTATGATAAATCTATAAAATTTGTATTTGTCATTTTTAAAAAAGGAAAAACAACCTGTAGACCACTGATATTTAACATGGCTCTAGAAAGTCTAGTAAATATCTCAAGAAAACAGAAATATATAAATATCAAAAATTAGGAGGCTTCTTGTTAAATAAAGTAAATATAATCATTTCATAGACAATTCCTAGCACTCTAGGAGGCTAAGGCGGGAGGATTGCTTGAGGTCAGGGGTTTAAGACAAACCTCACCAAGAGCGAGACCCTGTCTTTACTAAAAATAGAAGAAATTAGCTGGGAAACTAAAATAGAAAAAATTAGCCCCGCATGGTGGTACACACCTGTAGTCCCAGCTACTTGTAAGGCTGGGGCAGGAGGATTACTGGAGCCCAGGAGTTTGAAGTTGCTGTGAGCTAGGCTGATGCCATGGCACTCTAGCCCAGGCAACAAAACAAGACTTTGTCTCAAAAAAAAAAAAAAAGAGGTTGAGTTGGCAGGATCAACTTGAGTTCAAGAGTTTGAGACCAGCTTGGACAACATAGCCAGACCTCCATCTCTATATTTTAAAGACATATTTACATATATATAAAATGTGAGCATTACCCAATTGTATAATTAAATATTTAAAAATCTGAGTGAAAATATAGCTTGTTTCTTAATCAGGGTATAGGTTAAGTAGGTATGTCCAGTTTGCCAAAATTAATCAAAATATACAATTGTCATGTGTATATTATTCTGTATAAGTATTACATTTCAATAAGAGCTGGGTTTTTTGCTTTGGAGACAGGGTCTCACTCTGTTGCCTGGGCTACAGTGCAGTGGCATCAACCTAGCTCACAGCAACATCAAACTCCCAAGTTCAAGCGATCTTCCTGCCTCATTCTCACAAAGTGCTAGGATTAAGGGCACGAGCCAGGATGCCCAGTCTCAATCAGAACTTTTTAAAAATAAAAATAAAATGGCCAAACTTTTCTTTGAAAGAAATAACATGAGTATAATATTTTAAATATTATAAAGAATTAATAATTTTAAACTCACTGGAAAGGTAAACAAATTAACAGGCTAATCCCAAGTGTATGTAATAATTTAGTATTAAAAGGCTGGTATTTTTAAGCAGTGGAGAAATTATTAGCTTTTTAATGGCACAAGAGGAAAGTTTGAGCCCAACATCAAAACATGGAGCAGAAATTGAAAATAATAATTTAAATATAAAAAATAAATATTCTGGACAAGACATAATTTTTTAAAAATGAAAGACAATTTTGGACAAAGCTTTCATTCGTTCCATCTTTTTTTTTTTTTTGAGACAGAGTCTCACTTTGTTGCCCAGGCTAGAGTGAGTGCCATGGCGTCAGCCTAGCTCACCAGCAACCTCAGACTCCTGGGCTCAAGCAATCCTTCTGCCTCAGCCTCCCTAGTAGCTGGGACTACAGGCATGCTTATATATTATTTAGCCAATTAATTTCTATTTACAGTAAAGAAGGGGTCTTGCTCTTGCTCAGGCTGGTTTCGAACTCCTGACCCTCAAGGCATCCTCCTGCCTCAGCCTCCCAGAGTGCTAGGATTACAGGCATGAGCCACTGCGCCTGGCCCATCTTTTTTTTTTTTTTTTTAAGAGACAGGGGTCTCACTATGTTGCCCGTGTAGTGGCTAGTCACAGGTTCTATAACAGCTCACAGGAACCTCAAACTCCTGGGCACAAGGGATCCTGCCTTAGCCTTCTTAGTAGCTGGGACTACAGGCCCACTCCATACCACCCCACCATAACAAAGGTGAAAAGAAAAGACATTTAAGATTAAACACGTGGCCGGGCGCGGTGGCTCAAGCCTGTCAATACCCTAGCACTCTGGGAGGCCCGAGGCGGTCGATTGCCGAGTCAGGAGTTCGAAAACCGGAGCCCCTGAGACAAGAGCAACCCGTCATCTACTATAAATACGAAAGAAATTAACTGCCACTAATAGTAAAGTATATAGAATTAGCCGGCGTGGTGGCACATGGCCTTAGCCAGCTACTCGGGAGGCTGAGGCAGCAGGATTGCTTGAGCCCAGGAGTTTGAGGTTGCTGTGAGCTAGGCTGACGCCACGGCACTCACTCTAGCCTGTGCAACAAAGCGAGACTCTGTCTCAAAAAAAAAAAAGATTAAACACGTGATTAGTTTAACAAAATATACATTGTTTATACAGGATTCAACAGTAACCTCTTTTTGTAAAGGACCAGATAGTAAATATGACACAACTACTGCTTTGTATCCAGTAAGCAGCCAAAAATAATGTGCAAACTAACGGGTATATTTCACTAAGACTCTATATATAAACACTGAAATGTGTATTTCATATAAAATTTACATGTTATACACACACACACAAAAGATATAAGAATAAGAACACTAAAAGATGGAGAAAATCTTCCAAAGCAATAGTAAAAACTGAGAAGCCATAAAGGAAAAGATAGACTTCTTTGACCACACATAAAATTAAAAATTTTAAAGGCAAAATAAACCATAATACGGTGCTTTTCAAATTGCTGATCAGAATACATGAGTCCCAGTATTAATTTAGTTTTGTGATAGTATTTTTTAAAAACATGGAATGGTATTAAAATAATGAGTACACTACATTTAAAGTATAACAATGTACCTCTTTTGTATGTATGTGTGACTATGTACTAAATCATCATAAAAAATGTATTTATTTCTTAATATGTATATCTGTCAAAATATATAGGAGGAATATTACCATAAATAGATGAATGGTCATAAGTCAAATGATAGACTGGGTAAATATTTGTAAAATACATAAAGTATTATTATTATTATTTTTGAGACAGAGTCTTGCTTTGTTGCCCAGGCTAGAGTGATTGCGGTGGTGTCAGCCTAGCTCACAGCAACCTCAAACTCCTGGGTTCAAGCAATCCTACTGCATCAGCCTCCCAAGTGGCTGGGACTACAGGCATGTGCCACCATGCCCGGCTAATCTTTTTTTCTTATATATTTTTAGATGTCCAGCTAATTTGTATCTATTGTTTTAGTAGAAAAGGGGGTCTCGTTCTTGCTCAGGCTGGTCTTGAACTCTTGACCTTGAGCAATGCACCCGCCTTGGCCTCCCAGAGTGCTAGGATTACAGGCCTGAGCCACCACTCAGTCTGGCCTTGAGGTCCTTTTAAGGTTATTTTTTTTCTTTTTGAGACAGTCTCTCTGTGTTGTCCTGGCTACAGTGCAGTGGTATGAAGCTC